GAGACACCTCCAGAAGCAACAGGACGCTGCTCTTCCCCAGCAAGATCCACATCCACCGAGTGAACAGCACCAACAACATCTCAGAACTTCTCCAGGGCAATGGCAGTGACCAGGCTGGAGGTAGTTCTTGTTTGCTTGGGGTTGGTTGTTGGTTGTTTTTTTTTGGTAAGCCTTAAATTTTCGAGGAACCCGAATGCACCTGCCTTCTGCAGAGACCTCAGCAGGCTCCTTTGCTGCCTCTCTTGATGGTGCAGTTTGGTTTGGACCTCATTGGATGAAAGGTCCTAGGAAGTTACCCCCTTATTTTAAGCGAAATGCTGATAGTCTGAGCAGAGTTAGCTCTATTTATACCCTGCCTCTGTTAACAAGTCAGAAAAAGTAAACTTGATTTCTTTGACAGGCACACGCTTCCTATGTCCTGGTGGCAGTCAGACAGATTTGTTGCAAGAAAAAAAAGCTGGAAAGAGTTTAAAAGGCTGGAACTGGCACGGTGGGACCCCTGCATGTTTCTGAATGCAGGGAGGCCTTCTTAACCCCTTTAGACCTAAAGTACTTCCCTATGCTAAGAATGGCATTTGCTTCTGAAAGGGGACTTGTCTAAATAACACGGACCCGCGGTCAGGGGATTTCCCCACGGCAAGGGGCTCCACAATCACTTGCTAAAAGGAACGAGTAATAGGATTGAAGCAATTAAAGCTAGAATATCATATTTTAACAAAGGAAGTAGGGAAGGAATAACTTATTTAAACTTAGGATCGACAAAAGCTGTTATGTCTTCATAACTTCTCCCCGGGCTTTTTTCTTCTCTTTGGTGGGGAGATTTCCAGGATGCTGGTTTTAATGCTGCCCTCCAGCCCCACCAGCAAGATGTTAAAAGTGTCCCTGAATTCCTCCACATTTCCTGACAGCCAGATCCCATTGTACAGTGCATTGCTGACCCCTTTAACAGCGACAACAAAAAAATAGTAGAAGTTCAACTCTATGGAAACCTGCATAAAGGAATGTACAGCATTTTTGCATTGGGGGGCGGGGGGAAAATTCAGTCAAGCTGAGTTCCTCGTTCCCTGATTATTACAGCAAGGAGCTGATCCTGCTCATGCTGAACACGTGCCAAAATCTGGAGACGAGTGGCAGAAGTCAGAGCTGCTCAGCACCTTCCAGGATTAGAGCCTTCAGGCTGCGTTCTGGGCTGGCTGGCTGGATCCTGCGTGGTGCTAAGAGTGCCCTGGGAGGACCAGGTGAGTTTGCATCCCACGTGGGGGGCAGCAGGGCCAGGCCAGCAGGACTGAGCTTTGGGAGGAGGGAAGGTTTGTGCATCTGCCCTGTGCCCGGTGCTGAGCGCCGTGAAGCTGACAGACCTGGGCACAATCAACCCTTAACTAAAGTTAAGTTTTTCTGTTGGGTTTATTAAACCGGGGTTGATTTAGTGGCTGAGTTTGGGCCTAGTTCTCCTCTGAGTGATGATTGATGCCAACCAGTGTAACCAGCAGCGAAGCAGCCACCATCCAGGTGATGCCCCAGGCCATGGAGCTCCTGCTCTTCCCCGGGGGCAAGGCAGCAGAGCGCAGTGACCTGCTGCTCTTTCCCAAAGATTGCCTCCAGCAGGAAGGGAGAGCAACCTGGAGCTGATCTGCCCTTGGCTGGGGCATTTCTGTGGCAACCCAGGCTTACAAAAGAGGCTCTGGCAGTTCTGATCCGTGTGACCGCATTCATGATACGCACGGTATTTGAATTTCGTATGACGTGCAGAGAGAAGTTGTCCAAATTAGCTATTTATAAGGAGTGAAGTCAACAGGCAGGCAGCAGTTTGCAGTCAATTTATTCTCTCTGAAACTTCAGAAACCTGCACGACACTCGTACAACGTGTGGCTGTGCGCAAGATGTTTTATTCAACACTTGTTTACAAAGACAAACGCAGCACCCTGTGATGCCTAAAAAAGCCAACCAAAAATGACACATTCCCAAGAGGTACTTAAAGTTCTTACAGCTCTATTAACAACAAAATCACATGTATTAGTGGTTCTGTTGACTAAACAAAGACACTTTATGTTGTAGAACCGACTACAGATAAGCTTTGAAACCAGCTGTATGTGGGGCTCAAAGCGTGAGGGTGTCCTGGGCACTGCAGGAGCTCCTGGGATGTGTGTGGGTCACACCACAGCAGATGCTCCATGTGCAGGGAAGTTACCCTTGGAGCATGTAGCTGTGGATAAATCCCTGCCATCCTCAGGGTCCTTTTGGGCTGTTTTACCCCATTACCCCACTGGGCCAGAGGTGGGGAGCTGGTGGGTCCATGGTGCTCTGAAGCTTCTGTCCCCTCTCCTGGTGCCACAAAGCCACTTTCTTGGGTGCTGTGGCCATGCTGAGTGAGACACCCACCAGTGTGAGCCCATGGCAGGCAGGACTCCTTTCCAAGGAGGAAGGAATAACATCTTGTTTGTTTTTCTCCTTCCAAACCAAGGACCCCTTGCCCAGAGGCACATTTCAGCTGTGGGGAAGCACAGTGGGGCTCTGAAGATTCAGACACTGGTTTGCATCAGGCAGATGGAGCAGCCTCCAGCTCTGCTGTGTCCTCCTTCACCCAGAGGGATATTCAGGGACAGGTAAGTCCCACCACAGCTTTCTGCTTTGGGCACCGAGATACCATGTTCAGTGTGATGGTCAGGATGGTGGATCTCGAGAGGTGACAGGTTAGGGAGCCCAGCTGGAGGGGCAGCTGCACAGGGCATGGAGCTCAGCTGATTTAGCTGTGTCCCTGTTGCAGGTCAGTGGGACTGTCCAAGGAAAGGCCATTTGAAGGGCTGTATCTGATGTGTTGTCACCCCAAATGCTGGGCCAGTGCTTGGCACAGCAGGGAGGGGCAGGGACATCCCAGAGGAGCCTGGGGAAAAGGGCAAAGCAATTATCATTAATGACAATTATTATTTTGTGTGGTCACTGTACTAATGTTATAAATGAGGCACAGGAAACCTGTGTTAACTGAGGAATCATGCTTTCAACAAAACTTCAGCATAGGAAGCCTGTTAGGGAACCAAATCCTGCCCTAAGCCAATGGAAACTGGACAGATGCTGTGCCCCTGCAGCTCACATTGCTTGAGGAACAGGGAGTGCTCAGTCCCATGAAGAATCAGTCCCTTGGCCACCTGAACACAGCTGGGAGAGAGAGGAAAACAGTGCCATAAATCTTCCCATGAATGCAAGCAGGCAGCTCCTGAGGTCAGAGGAGGCAGAGAGGACTCTGAATAACCCTTGGCAGCCACCCTGTCCCTGCCAGGACATCCCAGACGTGCTGTTACCCAACCTGGGGGGCACATTCAGCAGG